TGAAGCAGGAGAACAATTTCTGTCATTTTTTCTAGTACAACATGACATAGAATCATGCAAAGAAGCACATTTTAAAAACAAAAGAGGACATAACCCTAATATTAGTTCACCTCTTTAGAAAACTGTCCCACAGCAGCATCATTAGCAGAAATTAGATGGGTGTTCATTTAAGGCTGAAGTGCTGAAAGACATTTAACCTCGTGCTGAAGCCAAGAAAAGTGGCCAGCAGGTATTCCATAAATAAGAAAATTATATTAGAAAGTTTAGAAAAGAAGAAGTGCACAAGGGCATCTACATATAAGTAGGGTGAATAGTAAGTTTCGATCTAGTTTGTATTTATCATGTAAGTTTCTAAATGATTTTATTTTCCTCACTTAAAACAAAATGACATAAATGGTCAACAGGTAAATTAAATCCATAATTATACACAACCCATATTGTACAAATTGGAAAAAGAAGTTCAAGAAGAAGTTCAGCTAATGTTTATTTCTTTGATAAGGTAGTTTGAGAATTATTTAAACACCCTCATCAGACAATTCAAAATAAATACATTCATCTTTATCATTTAAATACATTTAAACTTTACAGAGTCTTCAGAAAAATGTTAAAATCTCCTCACATCCCTAATTTGCTGTTGCACACTTCATTTTCAAGTTTATGATTAAACATGTTTGTCTGGGATCATATCTAAAGTAACCTGAACTAAATCAAATATGCAATTGTTTGTTTTGCATAACAGGGGTCATTCTGGAATTTAGTGAAATTCTTTAAATGCTTTTAAAAAGATTAATACAAGTACATTATTTCTTTGTTAATGTTTCAGCGGACTGCTCATGTGGAATCTTTTAAAATGAGTCATACTGTATATGAATCAGAACAACAAATAAGACTTTTCAAAAGCTTTTTATCACTTCCATTAAAGAAAAAAGTTTAAAGAAGCAATGTTATATTTATATCCTAACTATGTACATCTATATGTGTGAGCAGAAAAAAAAGAACTGAGTGGTCAAAATAAACTTCAAAACATCTTTTAACTTGTCATCCATCTTAATAGTTGCAGTTGTAATCATACGCAAACTCCCGCAGCCTTTCTGCACGTTTTCTCCTCCTCAAACAGCTATCTTTCTAGAGATCCTGATTGGTTGATAAGATGGTTTGCTAAGTCCACCTCAGGCTGTTTAAGCGCCTGCGGCCAATCCCTCTAAGAATCACCTCAGTGAAGGATAAATCTCACTTAAAACTATCCTCCCGTTCTGCCAACACATCTAAACACTCTCAGATCACTTTCAACTGTGTCCTAATGGGAAAGCGAGCCACACCATTACATCACTGCACCCTCCCCCACGTCCGTTGTTTGTACATTTACTCTCCCTGCCTACTCTCCGCAACTATCTGTTCGCCAATTACTGTACGCCTTGCAGCGTGAAACCCGCTCATGCTGCGCTGAAATTCACCCCCAGCTAAGGCTTAACAGGGCACTGGCCACCTGGGCAATCATTTACACCAAGTAGGTGCATCTAGATTTGGCCCACTGCTGGATTTAGATGATCCCCCGCCACACCCACCCCCTTCCTGTGGCCTTGATGGGACCACTGCTGGCCAGGGCAGGCCATCCGGGTCTGGCAAGGCTTCACCAGGCAGTGAGTCTGAAATATGGCCATAGGCCCAGTCTGAGATGCACTGATCCACACTACCAGCTGCCATCTTTCTCCCCTTCCTGCATGCTCCCCTTCCGCTGCTGCGCGGCTCCTCTCTCCTCTCATGTCTATTTTTAGAGCTGGATGATTTCTAGCTTCTAAAATGGGCAAATCTGTTGTAGAACAGCAAGTTGTGTGTATGTGTGTGTTTGTTTTCCTTAAGCATACTAATGCACAACCACATCCAACTTGCCCAAGTGTTACACAAATCCTGACTGGTCCCTGTTAAAGCCACATTCCAACACACATGCATATTCCCATTAGCATTCGACTGCTCTCTGTTCTCCACCCAAGGGAGATGCTTGATGGAAGGTTTGGTTTCAAAACCAAAAAGCACAGCAACAACAGCCAACCCCATCTAAATGCAGCATTTTTTAAGACAGGCACAGTGAGTGCCTCTGCGGGACAGTAGTAAGGTTTCATCTTTGTGCTTCACTTTGATCTGGCTCACCTCTTTCTCATCATTAGCTGCCTATCTGCAGGATTCTGCCTCGAAAATCTTCACTCCATCACCTCTTTCAAGCCCTATAGCAGATATTATACTACAAAACTACAAAAAAAACTACTGAAGCTCCTCACGCAGCACTGGTGACAGTAGCATCTTTTTCAAAGTGCTGGAAGCGTGTCACATTGAAAGAAGCCGACACGATGCTGGCCTCGTTGGCTGTGCCGACACGAAGCTGCATTCCCAAGAAACGTGTGAGATGAATGGAGTAGAAAAAATAGATCCCTAAAGAGGAGGGCGCAAAATGTACTGTAGAAAGCAATGGAAGTATTGGAAGCCACTATGCTTCAAAAGTGAATTCTCCCAGTGTGTAGTAACACTCATACTGTAGGGTGAGAGATGGAGGGAAAAGCTACTTTGCATCTCCCGCAGTCAATCTCCGTCTTTTTATAGGCCAACAACTCAGAAAATCAGGATATGCAGACTTTTGGGATTTTATTCTATTCCCAAGGGTTATGATTTAAAAAAAAAAAAAGTATTTGTGGGATTGCTGAATGAATGATGGAGGAAGTAAGCCAATTAGATAAAACCCTGACTTTGTATGTTACTGCTGAAACTAGGAATAGCTTAAAGGGCCACTTTCCTGGAAAAAAACATTATGTGCATATCTAAATTACATTGTCAATTACACTGAATATACCATAGATTCATTGTGTTCTTAAATTGCTTTTAAAAAACAAGCCTTATTTATTTCATTGTTTTTAAAACAGAAAATCAGCAATATTTATAGAAATATATAAAATATATATGTGGATATCCTAATTTATGGACTACAAAATAAAGATTCAAAAGAAAAATCCTCTCTAATTACACAGATAACCCTACCTTTTTACCTTTCTGCTTTTTATACAGGAGCATACACACTACTGGCATGGAAATCTTTCCAAATGTATCTTTCTTGTAGGTTTAACAGAAAGGAATGAAGTTTTTAAAAAGTTATGCTTCCAAAATTACAGTCAAGACATCTTTTGCCATGCCATTCTGACATTTTGAACTTTCTTTAATGGGATGCCACAAAAAGTGTACTCAAAAGTTATAGTGCTGCCCCTATGGCACCTGAAAATGCACACTGCTGGGCAGTTTACTAAATTAGGGCTATCCTTTTAGTTACAGTTATTAAGGCATAATGTACACCACGGTAATATTTTATGCTAAATATTTCTCACTGTCAATATTTTTTATTTTTGGCCAAATGAATGTAGAAATCTGCTTTCAACCAGCTGAATGGCAGTACATTGCAGGTAGTCGATGTCCCACTCTGGCACATTCTATGGCAAATGTTTTAAAACTTTCTAATATGATATATATTCATTAATGATTGCCCAAACCAATTTGGTGATTCATAACAAAACAAGTGGTAAATAAGTAGGATGCTCTAGGAGGCTTGGGTTAAAGGAACCCTCAGATGTTAAATAAACTTTTTTTTTCCAGAAAAACAGCACATCTTAGAAGAGTAAATTTTCCTGTAAACATAACGATCTAAGCTCCTGATCAGTGCACTCTGAGAGCTGTTTAAATCTCCACAACCGCAAACGGCCTGACAGGAACCAGAACTTTCCACTGTAAAGCTCCCGTCCGATGGGAAAGTGCTGACTAAGGTTAGACTCCTTCCTGTCCCGCCCTACATCACCCTTATTTCTTTCTGTCTCATCAGCTGTGCAGCACACTCAGGATCCTTGAGATGAAGCGTCGCCAGCCAACCCCTTGTAAGAAAGCCCATTAAGGAGTACATCAATATTTCATCATTGCTCACTCAGAAACATAGTTATAGAAGTTTCCAGGCCTGAGCCATTAGGGGGCAGACGTCAATATGTTATGGCAGCAGGCATCCCTTCACCTCTTGCCTCACTCCAGTCCATCTAATCTCTTAAGCCAAGAGGTTTCACTCAAGTCAACGCTGGTTTCCGCTGCTAAAACAAGTTATTAACCATTAAGATTCCAAGGTGTGCATCATTGTTTCCTGTTTAAAGGGATAACTTCACATGATAATATCTGGTCTATCCCAGAAGAAGTTTTTTTACTTGTTTCTGCACCAAGAAGGAAATCCCTAATTTGGAAAGCAAACAAATAATTAATAGAATTACATGGTTATATAAAAGGAAACTGACAGGCCTACAATTCTAGCACAGGGGGACTTTGAGTCATATCTGTGGACACAAGTCTGGCGCCTTCAGCAGCAGTTATGACCAATGAGTGGACATTCAGTGACAGTGGGTCGATCGTCAAGAAAAAAAATCTTGTCTCACACCCAAAGTGAGTCAAGCCCTGAGTCAAATCTCAGATGGAAAACTTTTCATTCAGTCATGGAAAATGAATAAAAGCCTAATTGCAGCGTTATGATGGAGATTTGATTACCCTTATTTCAGACTATTACAATTTCATTAGTAGCCTGGACCGGCCTGCAGACTTTTGGACATTTAAAAGTGTTTTTTTTTTGTTTTTTTTTTTCAAAGCTTATCCTTTAGTGTCCTTGGAAGTGGAAGGTCCTGAAGTCTGCATGACATAAAAAGACTTTAAAGCTCCAAAAGATGTTATATTCATATCATAATCATATAAATGCAAACATCAATATTTATGGATGTAAACTATTATCAATTTTGCTTCAAATTTCTGCTTTTCATTTTTAGCAGTCTGGATAAGATATGTCTAGTTCTAAAACACCACAAACTCTCTGACAAAGTGTTGCATTTTTAAGAGCACAATTCTTCATTTATTATATTAATATATTGGGGAACGATAGTAAAAATTATACAAAAAAATAACAAAACATGTATCATCGGTCCCCAGGATGAACTTACCAGAGTGCAGAACCTCTCGGGAGGATTTCCACATGTGATTCCGGGCGGATCCACCTTGATGCGCATGTAGTCTTTCATGGACGCGGGACTGGGCTGGCATGCGTAATGCTCCCACACCGAGCCTTCGTCCGTGCTCACCAGGGACTTGCACATGTTGTACTGGCCAAGGGCGGAGGCCAAACATTGCAGCAGCAGCAACAGCAACAACGTAGCCCGGAGGAGCATGGCAGGTCTGGGGAGGGGTGTATGGAACAGGGTCCGACACAGGGTGTGGGGGCCAGAGAGCTCAGATAAGGGGTAAAGCGCATGGAGCGGTGATCACAAAGAGAAAGTGAGCATCATGACCATGCGACTTTAGAAAAAAGACTTGCCTCGTAGCTTTTTAATGAAATCCCTTGGGTGAACGGAGACAACTGAATCTGGAGCTTTCACTGAGTGTCACCTGACAGATACTGACAGATATTGACGTCCCCCAGGGGAACACTGAGTTTGTTGCTTGGGACGGGTGATTTCCAAAGGAAAAGATGGGCGAATACTGTTACATAGACGAATCTAGGCGTTTACTTTTACTATAATGTTGCATTGAGTTGGGTGGGAGATGCTCGCGGGGATCCATGTTTCAGAGCGCCGGGTCCTGTAGCGCAACAGAGGTTCCGGTAGGGAAAGATGAAAAAGGAGCCACTGCGTCGTCGGGTAGATCCATTGAAGGGTTCAGATCGCTTTGGCTCCCGTTATAGATCAAAAGCACTCTGAGGACGGAAGAAAGAAAAGTTAATAAACGATTATTATACCTGTAAGTTTCTCATTTTAAGGTCTAACACTTTTCATGGACGAAATGCACGAGTTGCAACACCAGTATTTCTTCTGAAACATTTAAAACCAACTAAAAGCGCTTGTCTGCGTGCTTTAATCTTGTGCGTAAAAACACGTGCTCCTGCCCGGTGCCTGTGATTCCTGCTGTGCTGCAGAGTGGGATACAGATGTTGCATGACAGATTACGCTGTAAAAAATATCAGTCAAACAATATAGGCTTTCAGGTTCTGCAGAACCGTATTTAAAAATAATATTTTTGCAGCTTCCTATGAGCCAAGTGAGTGTTTACTAACTTCACCGACCCGATCAATGTTCTAACCGCAACCAGGGGGGAAAAGGGGAAGCATAAAAGTTTTATAGCCTAATTAATCACTTAATCCAACTATATATTTACTTTCAAATCTACTGCTTTCATGACGAGATAAAGTTGTTCCCCCCTCCCTATCGTTAATATAAAAACTTTAAACTAACCTTCCTCCTGTCAGTAATAAAAGTCCGGACCGTGCAGCCTGCCCCGAACCTTTCAGACTTTGTTCACTTAGAAGCTGAAACACTTTACCGGACCAGATCAGGGGTGTGTCCGCTTTGACGCTTCTGCACCCAACCGTGCAGCAGCGCTTACAGTACTCGCTGCACAAACATTATTATTTTATTTATTCAGCTGTTTTGCCTCAGTTGAAAAAAATCAAGACGATAGACCCGTCTGCCCACTCCGGCTATCCCGAGTGGTGCGTTTCATGTGGATCAGTCAGATATGTGGAGCGAAATGGACGCAAAGGTGTTGCAAATTTGCTTGATCAGATAAAACACTTACTTCTTTCACGGGTCTCTGTGCGGCCGGTCAGTACTATAAATCCTCTCCGACCATCCACTGTACTCCTTCCCCGCCACCGTCCTCACTGTACTCCCGACATCAATCTGCCCTGCGCGCTGTTTGTTGGTTTATTTGCAGTCCGCCGGATACTTTTTTTTTTTTAATCACACCGTAGATGGTTGTGCTCTGATAGCTCAGCGGTGTCCTAGATCTGGGATCGGCCGGGAAAAGAGGAATGAATTCCACCGTCAGGGTGTATCAAAAGTATAAAATATTGAGTTTGAAGAAAGGCTTGAGCCCGCCCCGATCAGCCCCCCTCTCCTCCTCCCCTCCTCCTCCTCTTCCCACTTTACAAGCCTCGGGTTTACCCGGGATGCTCAAGGGCAGAAAGAGAGGGAGGGGGGGAAAGGCTTTATGGAAAATATCACCCTCCCTCCTCTTCTTCCTCCCTCCCTCTCTCTGTTTGCTATCTCTCTCCCTCCCTCTTCCTCACTCTGTCTCTCTCTCTCTGTTAATGCCAAGGCTAAATCCTTTTACCATCACTTTCAATCACTATCTCAGCTTTTATCTGCTCCAGCTCAGCTTCCTGAACCGGGCAGGTGTAACTTCCTGTGTCCAATGCTGCTCTCAGCTGACCCCGACTGGAATGTCAACTGGACCGAGCGGGACACGGAGGGGAATCCGATGTCACTGTAGTTTCGAACAAGTTCCTAAGGAATTAGATTTGGATTTGTAACAAGGAATTACAACACCTGTTTATGCAGTAGATGATTTCAATAAAGTAGCATAAATTGCTGAGTTTATGAAATTCAATACGGCGTTTGATATCAAATTATATTGACTGTTTTCAACTGTGTTAAACCTTTACTGTACATTAAACAGCGTGTTTCTGGAGAACGTAGGTGCTTTCCATGGTGCTGAAGATGGGGCATATGTTTTCGCCCTTTTGCAAATACGGATTTTAAGGAGGTGGCTTGGAGTTTTGTTGCTGTTTTGTTTGGGTCTTGATCAGGGGTCAAACTAATGATCTTTAAATTTTCCAAACGACAATAAGTACAGCACCTAAATAGATTTGAATGCTGTAATGTAAGTCAATAATTTTACAAGAAATTATCAAATATGCAATAGTTTGGGAGCATTG